GGACGCTAAATGACATCTCTGCTGCCAGGGAGAGAGGAAAGCAGCTCTGCAAGAGGCAAAGGGTACTGCTCAGGAGCACAGGAAAGTCTCTTTCAGTTTTAAAACTCGATTATTTCTTCTGGCTCCTTAATGGATCTAATTATGATGTTATCCTCTCAGGAGAGCACATCTCAAATGGGCAATGAGCCTCCTAACAGGCACGGACCACGTCCTGAGCAATGGGGTGCGACGTGGCCCTTGGGACACTTTGCAGACAGGGGAAGCACAGCCCCCCCACGATGGGTGCAGGCAGCCTTTCCCCCCTGATGGGTGCAGGCAGGGCTGCCTTAACACAGGCTCCACATTGCTTTTCAGAGGTGGGCATCCAGCTTCAGCTCCCCTCCCGCTGCCCGATCCCAAAATCCCCAGCACACAACCACTGACCTAGAATTGATGGCTTGAGCCCAGCTCTCGTTACTGCTCCGCACAGGCACCAACTAATCAAGGGAGCAGAGCCTATTAAAGGGCTTGGGAACTGAAGGAAACAACCTGGCAGGGTGCTCTTTGGCAACCAGCCCTTATCTGAGACAAATTCATCCCTGTCCCCACATCCTTGCTCCTGCCCCGCAGGCATTTTGCACTGGCTGTCGATCACAAGTCCCATCACAAGGCTCCCGAGCACCCTTCGGACAAATCTCAGGGGCAGCAGGCGGAGGACACACGGGGCAAGGGCGAGCTTTCACGCAACGCCATACTTGTCCCTGAACTCGCCCCACCACAGGCAGCCAGGATATATTTTTCTCATTAAAAGATTAAACCCTGTCGCACACACATCTCCTCTAATTCCCGCTGCTAACCAACTTATGTCTCGCCCTTTCCTTAGCGCTAGCTCTTTTGTCACACATTTCTAAAATGAGATGTTTCCAATGCCTGCTCTCCCCCCATCATCACCACCACATTTCTCTGTGCCAGGACAGGCAGATTTATTTCTGTTTCCTGCAAGACTCACGGCAGTATGTGGTGTGTTGTATGTTATGCTGTGAAACAGGAACTGAATCGCCACAGTCACATCCTCTCCCCCTCCAACGCCGTCACACTGGATCACATCAAACGCCCACATTACACATGACCAAGAAAAATGGTTTACAGAACCTCTGAAGCAACAGCCAGGTTTGCTCTCTTGCCCCAGGGAAAATAGGAATAACTGAAATCTGAGGAATACTGTAAATATTTCCACTAGGCACTTCCTTAACAAAGCTAAACCTCATTTCCTTCTTCAAGCCTCAACACGCCATTACTCATTTAATTAACATTTTGTAGAAAGATCTTTGATCTCTGCACAGCTTGTTCATAGATAAACACTTTGTGCAACAGATAAACCATGTATGTGAGAGCAGGGCTGCACGGGAGCCCACCTGAGAGCACTTGCTGCCTTTCGCTATGTCACTAAAACAGAGAAGAAATTAAGCACAGAAAATTGCCATCATCCCCATCGGCAACCCGTAACAAGAGAAGGTTTCAGCTAGGAGAAAGCACGGGAAAAGCGCGTGGTGGTGGGAGCCCCTGCGCTCCCTGGCGTGGGGTCACTGCCTCTGCCACCTCCACCGCTCTTGCAAAGCAAAACAAGAAGGAGAAAGCCTTTAAAAAGCACAGCTTACTTTGCAGAGATCCCCTCCTCCTCTCGGCACAGGTTCTGCTCTCTGTGGGTAGGAGCAGTGTCTGAAAACGCTGTTGGAAGAGGAAAAAAAAAGGTTAAAATCGCACTCCTCCTTTTTTCCCCTCCTTTCAGACTTGGTAGCCAGACGAGACAGTGAGTTTGGGGTATTTAAGCCACCAGCTTCCCTTCAAGACGCCTCATTTTTGCCTTCTGACCAACCTTTCCCCTGTTTATGTAAATACGGTCTTTTGTACAATAAAGCCAAACAAGGGCACTTGTTCCAAGGAGGAACAAAGTGCAAGCTGCCATCGGAGACGAAGTGAAAGCCAGCGCAGCGCTGCGGGAAGAGCTGACGCCAGCAGCCCCCAACACGGCAGGGCTGTGCGGCAACCAGAGAAACAGGGCTCATGGTTGCGCTTTGGGTGATTACAGCTATTAGAACAAAGCCAGCTAAGCTGCTTCCCATCCCCTTCCTCTTCGTCTTAAATGTAATTTTCCAAGAGCTCTCAGTGCCCTCCCCGAGCCTTCCCTGTGCGAGTCAGGCTGAAGCGTAGCGCAGCCGCAGGAAATTACTGGAGAGGCAGGAAAACGCTGACCTGAACTCGCCGGCAGCTTTTGGCCATGGAAATTCAAGCTGGAGGTGCAGCAGGAACACCAGAGCCACCCCGCATGAGCACCTGGGGCTGCTTTGAGCCAGAAAATCCCCGAGAGAGCCCCCCTGCCATGGCTGCAGGGCCAGGGGTGCCCCAGGGGGCTCCCAGCCCCATTGTGACTGGAGCGGGCGCGCGCCCACCCGCCCCTCCCCGTGTGAGCCCCGGCGCCCAATGCCAGCCATACACACACAGCAAGCTCCGCTCGGGGCCCCCGCCAGACATGGGTGCCTAGCGGGGGAGGATGCTCAGGGAGCCCCGCAGCACGGCCGAGCCTCCTTCTCCATGGGCAGAGCATCGCCACCAATTTCTATGGTTACCCCTGATGGAGGCAGCAGGAAGGGAAACACTAGCAGGCCCAGCTCCACGGTCGCACCCTGGCCCCCAACAGCCCCAGCCCCATAAAACCACCCCTGCGCCCAGCAGTGCTGCGGGGACACTGGCTCCCCAAAGCCACGTGGGAGCACCTGCGGTGTCAACCCCCTGTGATGGTGCTTTGCTCAGGGGACATGCACCCTCCCTGCCGCACCGGCACTGGGGATGGGAGCAGGCAGCATCGCCCCAGACCCTGGCACAGTCCTTTGTTACCAACTAGAGAGAGACATCATGGGCTTAAAAATAAAAACAAGCTCTGTGGTAACAGCTGTAAGACTTCAGACGACAGCTCATCCATCACTTTGATGCACCCTGCGACCAAGAGTCACAGCCAACGGCCCCAAGCATTGCTACTGCCTTCTTGGAAGGATCTCCAAGCACCTCATTAATTTACTTGCAAGCATCAGTTAGGCAAGTCTGATAAATGCTGTGTGATGACAGTGGCGATAAGGCTGAGTGGGCTGCGCACCCAGCAGGGCACGGAATGCCAAACCAGGAGCACCAGTTCCCATGCTGGCAGCCAAGCCACAGGCACTAACCACCGCAGCCCCCCTGCGTCCCGTGTGGGAGGACCACCCCCAGACAAGCCACCCCAGGTAACAGGATGGATGGACCAAGGACAGATGCTAAGGGGAGGCTCCACGTCTCCACTCGTCCCCTACTTCCTCCCCTGCACCAAATTCAAGCAGGTGCCTCATCACCTGCAAACAGAGGGGCCAAGAGGTGGGAGGGGGCTGCGGGTTGCTATGGAGGACAGCATGTTGATGACAGTCCCCAGGGCCACCCTACAAATGGACAATAAATTACTGTGAGCAAGGTTTGAATCCGCATTGGTATTTTTTCTCTTTCAAGTTCGTTGGGTCACACCAGGGAGGCTGGAGAAGACCCAACAGTGCAACTCAGGTGTATATATTGATTTTTTGCCAAGCCCCATGTAAGATGCAGCAGCACACCCCAGTGTGTGGCATCAAAAAACTGCATTTAGCTCAAAAAAAAAAAAAAGCAATCCCAGAAATGTGAAAGCAGCTGGGTTTGTTACCCAGGGAGACCTGGAGACTCTTCACGAGGATCAGCATCTCTCACAGAGCAGGTCTCAGAGCCAACCTCTCTGATGGGGCAAGAGCTGGCAAGGGGTACCCGGAGGGGGCACATTGCGGGGCTGCGGCACAAAATCTTTCTCAAGGCAGAGGGACTCAGCTGGGAAGGGCAGAGCAGCAGCTAACGCGCTGGGCAGCCCCGTGCAAGGCCAGGGAGGGTTTTCACAATGCAGGAATCATCACTGACCAGACGTGCCAAAATTCAACCACAAATGTTGTATCGGGCTGTGCTCATCAGGACTGGGCTGCAAAACCAGGGCTGCTGCCTGTGCTCGGCATTTCACTTCCCGCTCCCTGCTCCCAGAGCAGCCCATGTCTGACTGACAATAGATCTAAAAACTCTGAATAACTGAAAGCTAAGCAGCACATTTAGGCATACTTTTTTTTTTTTAAGAACTGAAGAAGAAGAAATATCGACCAATTTTAAGATCCTGCTGCAGAAACAGGGGGCTTTGATGGGCCTCAGCAGCTGAGACGGGGTCCCCAGAAACCCTGACTCGCACCACTGACCGTGTAAGAAAAAAACCCCAAAACATGCAAGTAAGCCATTTTCCTTGGAAACCACCTCCCCCTTGCCATCCTCAACAGCCAGAAAAATAATATTGACCATAAACGACGACATAACTAGTATTACGATTCCTCAGTGGTATATTTTGCAGCATGACCTTTTAGATGCCACTCACAGTGAAATTATAATTTAAGATCTATTAATATTTGAAAGATCTCTGTCCATCAGCCAGCCAGCTCTCGGTCTTAATCCAGCCTCCGGAGAGCTGGGAGTAGGAAATGTGCCCTTTCACCTTCATTTATTTATAGATGGCAGAAATGAGATCATTATTTCTGCAGCGCCGTTTCATGGAACATGCCTCTCTGACCCGTTTCTGTCTGTGCAACACGGCTCCTGAACGTGAGCCAGAGAGTCTGGGCTGGCCCCCAACCCCGCTGCTGCACCCCAAGCTGGGAACACACTGGGGCGAGCCGACAGCGTCACTGCCAGCCAGCCTGGGGACAAGGCGACCGAAAAGCACAACTGGAGCAGGCTGTCCTGCCAGCCAGCCGCTGGTTTAGAAATTCATAACGTGCCCGTCCTCCTTCCGGACCCCATCGCCATCCCCATCCTGCCGCGCACACACGCAGTGCAGGATGC